AATGTTTCTAGCCCTAATATTTATGTTTTCATGAAAATGATTGAAGCAATCAGCATGTTTCTTTAGTTTAAACATATATTTTAGGAATAGATACATTAAGTTTGTCATTTATAAATCACTTCCTCTATTATAGAATTGGGTAAAACCCAGTTTCATTTTAGATTATTAAATATTTTTGTAAGATCTATATTTTTAACATTTAAAAAAAAAAATAAAGATTGTGTTCATGCATTTATGTTCATTATAATACATTTCAGACCATGAAAAAAAAAATAATAAAGCTGTGCAATAATTTATTCGAGTCACTTTTGCGGAAAACGTGGGTACACGTAGGTGACAGGATGTCATCACATAATTTTTTTACACAACTTGAAGTGAATCTCAACTTATTTCTTAATAAATCTCATCTTAATGGATAAGGACTTAAAAGTTATTAAATGAGAGAGTTTTTTCTAAAAGTGAGGTATCTATAATTAGTTGGAGCATGATAAAAAAAATTCTTCTTAAAAAAAGAACTTAGCTTAGATTAACCGCTCAAAAGTCCTCTTTAAATGGTTTTAGCAATGACAACCTTCTACTTTCATAAGAAGTAAATTTGTTCTAGTTTACTGAGAAGAAATTGTGAATTTCTTAAATTATGTATTTTTTAGTTAAGATTAATATTTGCTGTGCCGAAATGGTAAACGTCCGAGGGGTAGACCGAAGCGAAGGTGGGAAGATTGCATTAAAGCCAATCTGAAGGGGCTGGGTTTGGATAGCGAATGGTGGAGGGAGGTGTGTAATAAGCGATTGGAGGTGTTGGCATCGAACCTTCGGGTTTGCTAAGCCTTTTATTATTATTATTATTATGTATTTTTTAGTTATTGCTTCCTGTTCAACAAAAAATGTGACTCATTTAAAAAAAATACAAAAATTTAAATTCCTACTTTCCTGCTGGAAATTGGACAATTATTTATATAATTTTTGTTAAAACTCTTGAAGTCTTTTATCACTCCTATACTGTTAATCAATTGTTAATTTCGCATTTTTCAGTTGTTGCTTCCTATTCAACAAAAAATGTACCTTACTTAAAAACACACAAATCTTGAATTCACCACTTTTCTGTGGAAAATCCAAGATTCATATGATTTTTCCAGCCCTTGAGATTTATTATCACCTCTTTAAATATTTCCCTTTACTAAGAAAACCCTGTATATTAGCAATTAACTGATGAATATCAATGAATAAAGCTAAAGATTAATCCATACACACCAAAATCCTTTCTTAACTCAATTATAAATTTATTTGACAATATTTATTATAGAAACATTAATTTAACCTATTGGAAATTATTTAAGCTTAAATTACCTTGAAATTTGTCTAACCATTGAGGCTGATGATAATGTTCAGTTGCAAGAACACCTGTATTAAGAAATACAAGTATGATAATCAACCAATAAAATGCTTGAGATTTTACTGCTTTCCGACATGCTTTACGCATACGGCGATTAATTCTAAAACAAAAAAGGCAAATTTAGTGAAGTGATTTTTTTTTAGCAGAACAGAAATAAACAGAAAATTTTAATTTACCTGTCAAAATTTTTCTTCTTTTGTACAAACCAAGTATCTTGCTTTTCTCCATCATCACCTTCAAGTCTATCAGCAGATTCTGTTTCCCTGTTTTTGTCTTTTATTTAAAAATAAAGAAAATAAAAAAATATATATAAATAACCAACACAAAATATTTATGTAAATGGTTGTAAACATCTTTCAATTTTTAATAACATTCATAAACTTATTTATAGTTCTTTGATGATTAGTTGGTTGTCCAAGAGCAAACTCATATGGCACCAAGTTGAGCCAAATGTTTTGTTTCTACCTAACTCACTCTAATAATTTATTTAACCATCTCCTCAGCAATCAATCTTCCGAATATATGTAAAATAACGTTCGCATTCAATGTTATCCAACAGATAATTATATATCATCCATATTATTAATGTGTACAAATATGTAAACTCGCACATCAGAATTTATCTGTAATTTCATATATCTACCAGTGCCTTTTCTTTATTTTAATTTTAATTTTAGATCTAGATAAGGTTATAATTTAATTTATTTCTAATTATTTCTAATGCCAGACAATTGTCATTAAATTGTACATTGTAGTTATTCTAAGGGGACTTAGTCCCAGAATAAATTTTTTTTTTTTCTTCTTCTTCTTCTAACCCTCCAACATTACTTTCAAAATATGTATAAATATAAACAACATAGAAAATTGCTACATCATCTTTAAATATATGTATAATTATTTTTCCTTTCATTCCCTAGCTAGCCATTTATTATCAAATGATGTTATCATCTTTCAAAATATGTATATATTGGCAAATATTTAATACAAGTAAGTAATATCGGAGAGTTATAGAAAAAACAAAATGTTAGTTTCAACTTAATGCTGCATGGGTTCACCATCAGGCTACCAACTAATCATGGTCGAACTATAATAACAAAGTACCATATAAAGATAACAATATTCTTTCATTTATATCATTAAAAACCTTGATAATCATGTCACTATTCATGTCTAATGTCTCTTTTTAAGATACTTGCTATACTTTATTAATTAAGTTAGAAGTGTACTTGTTTATTTCATAGATCTGATGGGTACATGGCCAAGTGCATCTGAAGAACTTTTCTATAATAGCATAGATGTACAATAGTAACATTTAAAACAACTGTACTATTCATAAAATAAATGTGATAGAAAATGTCCACAAAGAATTTCATAATGAATTTGAAAAATATCCTTTCAACAGATTAAATTTAAACATCTATAACAAATCAGTTTTGGGACCGCGGTGGTCGAGAGAGTTATGGCAAATGCAAAAATACACTCAATGGGTAGAGGCTTTTTGTTCCAATTTTTATCGAAACTTAAAAGTCATGGACTCAACTCCCATTCAAGGGAACAAATGGGATAAAAATTAATAATAAATAAAATTAAAAATAAATAAAAATTGCAAGCGCTACCTGATTACTTACACCACTACGGCATGGGTTCAATTCCCGCCTGGGGATGGTAACGTCCAGAGATTCATAGGGAGTTGAGCGACCCCTGTGTCTTACACTATAGCTCCTGGTTCTCCAGGTTAGGGATTGGGCATAGGGCTAATGCAATGCAAAGATAAGACAGGAACCCCAATTCAGAACCATTATCGGAGGCCAAAGCCTTCAATGACAATGGAGTGAGATGTATCAGTCTGGCAGCAGCTAAAGATCTAGTCATCAGCAATACAATGTTTCTACACAAGAATATCCATAAATACACCTGGGTCAGCCCCAAAGGAGTGAAAAATCAAATTGATCATGTGCTGGCGAACGAGAGACATCAGAGCTCAATACGTAAGAAGTTATTGTGGAGCAGATGGTGATTCAGATTACTTTCTGATTAAATTTAGGTATGTCAGAGATTGAAGAAAATTAAAAAAACAGGGGATTGAGTGGAAAGAAGGAAGTACGAAATCCGTAATTTAAAAAATCCTGAAGTAAAAACCAAATTTCAACTGGAGATGAAAAATAAATTTGAACTCTTGGATTTGGAGAGCGGTGGACAACATTGGGAGAAATATAAAAAGGATTAAAAGAAACAGCTAAGGAAGTAATAGGCATTCAGAAAAAATGAAAAGCTAATGGTATGGTTCACAGAAGCAAGCGAAAAGACAATATAGGAAATATGAAACATGAAACTCCTCTGCCTAGCTACAACTGATCCAGTTGCTCAGGACCACTAGCGGATTCAGGATTTAGTTTTGGGGGGAGCTTCAGCCCGAAAGATTTTTTTTCATCAACATATAACAATAATTAATTAGAAAAAAAAAGAAAGATATTAACTATCTATATGAAATGATGTTTAAGTAGTTCTTGAAGTCCTATTAAATGTAATTACATGAACAAGAGTACTTAAAGAGATAGTTTTTAATATTTTTTTCTGTAAAACATGGTTATATTTTACCATTTTGGGGGGGGAGGCTTCAGCCCGAAAGTTCCCCCCCATAGATCCGCCTGTGCTCAGGACAATACACAACTGCCAAAAAAAAAAAAGGGCAAACAAAATTATAAGATTGGCAAAAAGGAAATTTCTCAAAGAAATATTGCTAACCATTGAAGACAACTGCTACAAATGCAAGGAAAAGATTCTGATGGCACCAAAAGAAAAGATATTGAGCAACTGGAAATAACATTTCCAGAAACTTCTCAATCAAGGGGACCCCACGACCGAAGAAGACAAGGACCACACTGAGGACCCTGACCCAGAAGAGGTTGAAAAACCAGATATACTGGATGTAGAAATAGCTATCGAAAGGCTTAAAACAGGAAAGGCCCCATGAATAGACAACCTATCATCAGGGGTGTTTAAAGATGGGGGAGATGACTTATGAGCCAAGCTACTTGAACTAATCCAGAAAATTTGGAAAGAAGAAAGGATAACTGAGGCTTGGAATACAGGCCTAATCGATCCTCTCCTAAAAAAAGGCTCCATGTATGAGCGTAGTAATTACCTTCCGGTTGCCTACAAGATAATGACAAATATTCTACTAAACCGGATATATCTGTATTACAAAAATATGATAGGCGATCAACAAGCTGGATTCAGAAAAGGAAGGAGCACACTAGACCAGATATTTATCCTAAAACAAGTACTCGAAAAACAATGGGAAGTAGCTCAGGATGTGCACACCCTATATCATTTTTAAAGCCGCCTATGATTTTGTCGACAGGAACTGTCTTTGGAAAATCATGAATGAATTGGGAGTTCCTGGTAAGTTGGTGAAATTGACAAGGGTGTATACAAATGACTCTAAATGTTGAGTACTAATACAGGGAGAAGTATCCTTCAAGTTCAACAAGTGAAGCCTTCAAAGTTCGAACAGGCTTACGGCAGGGAGATGGACTATCACCGATGTTGTTCAACTTAGCCCTGAAGAAGGTGATAAGAACAACATCACAGGAAAATGGAGGGGTCCACATCGGAATGAATCATAAAATCCTTGGATATGCAGATGATATAGCTCTCCTTGGAAGTAATCAAGAAGACATCGAGAAACTCGCAACAATACTGATAAGAGAGGCACTGATGATGCTAGATTCTATACATAATTCAGCATAATATATATACTGAACTTCCCCAATCAACAGCATCTATCTGCTGAATCTGGAGAAACATCCTTAAACTTGAGGCGAGAATATCTATCTCTTAAATTCATTGCCAAATTCAAAGCATCTTCCCACCACCCATTAACTCCATATTTGTTTGCAGAAGAATCCGAAAGAAACGGACTTAAAGATACAGAAAATAACATTTATAAACAAGAAATTTACAAGGCATTCACTAAAATAAACGGGGATATGAGCAATATAAGACCCATCCCAGAATTAAAAATACCATGTTGGAAAAAAGACAGACCCATGATTAATTAATCCATGGCTAAAATTGCAAAGACCTATTCAATTGAAATACAAAAATCTTTTTTAAAACTGGCAGAACAATATAAAAATTTCAATTTCATATATACTGATGCATCCAAAGAAGGAGATAGCATAGGATGTGCTCTAGCGAGTAACAAGAATCACCTATTGTTTAAACTACCTGGAGAATGCTCCATATTCACAGGAAAGGCAACTGCCATCATGAATGCTTTATATCTTATAAGTGATTCTAAAAAGAACTGCTTGGTAGTTGAGACAGACTCATACAGTGTTTTAGCTGCCATTGATAACACATACCCTAGAAACTCTATAATTAGAGAAATAATAAACATTTGGTGGGAGGAAAGAAATAAAGGAATATCAGTAGTCTTTGTATGGGTACCAGCTCATTGGGGAATTTTAGGAAATGAAAAAGCTGACCATACAGCCGATTTAGCAAGAAGTAGAAAAAAAGTAGTAGTGACTAGATTGAAATACATTACTTTAGAAGACTGGGTACACCAAGCAAAGAAAAAAAAACTGGTAGGGTAGAAAAAAGAGTGGAAAAGCAAAGAGTGCAAGCTGACAGATGTGAAATCTAATTGTGATAAATGGCTCACTAGCACCAGAAGTTCCAGGTGAGAAGAAATTATACTTTGCCATCTTAGAATTGGGCAATGCCAGTTCACACATAGCTACCTTCTAAGAGATCTAGAAGCGCCAGTTTGGGGAAAATGCAATAATACACCTTAAAATGTGTAACACCTAGTATAATGTCCCCAATTCAAAAACTACAGAAAAAAAAACAGATATAAGAAAAACATTAAGAGATATTCTACAAGATAATGAAGAGCGTGTTTCTATCATTTTTAATTTTTAAACTTTATAAATTACTATAACAGAATATAAATTATAGAAAAACGCCAATGACCCTTTATAGTAGAGGCAAGAAAGAGGGAAAAGAACTAACTAATAATAATAGAGTAATTTTGAATACTTTTTGATTCAGAATGTTTTCTATCTTCTCCTTCAGGTTCAATGTCTTCAGCTTGGGTGATCCAATCAAGGTAACCTCTTAAATCTTCCTCTAGTTGTTGTTTTTCTCTCAATTTATGAAAGTCTCCTCGTGCTTTAGCCTTTTCTCTTTCTTTGGAAAATTCTCTACAGCAAAAATGTAACATAATTTATCAATTATGATGTGGTTAAAATATTTTCAATTTTATTAAATAACACAGAGAAAATTGAAAGGTCCACTGATTAAAATTGATAAGATCAAAATTAAAACAACAAAACATTAAGTTAATAATATTATTCTAACATTTTAAAAAGAATTACCTTTAATGAGGTATGTACTTTGGTTTTATAATGTAAGAGATTAAATAAATATAACATAAAAATATGATAAGCTCTTAAGTTAGATTAATTAAATAAAGCTCTTAAGTAATTAAGTTATTGTCGATCATTGTGGAGCTTATAATACTTTTCTTTTCATGCAAAGATGTGGAGAGATCGGCAAATGCTACTCTGAGTACAGAGTACCAAGTATTTTACTGAAATTCTGTCCTTTTTTGAGTACCAAAGAATTTAATTACTATTTCATTTAATATCATACAATTAACTGAAGTAGCTATTGAATTCCCAATAGTGATTCAATTTGAGTAAAATACATGGTAGTCAGTACTCAGTGTAGCATTTGACCATCTCTGAAGATGTGTATATATGTTAATGATGAAAAAAAAGTAATAATAATAAAATAAAAAACTGACTAGAAACAACATTGAAATTGATTTTATTTAAAGAAACTTTAACAAATACTTAATAACCCAAGGGTTAAAAAAAATATTTTCAAGGTAAAAAAAATCTGCCGAAATAGCAGTGAACAGACGGATAGTAAGTTAAAAAAAGTTTTTATATATAATTTTATTTGTCAAGTCAATAGTATGATTTTTCACTTTGCAAATAGCCAAATAAATAGAACACAATGACTCAACAAACCCGTCATGTAAATGAAATTTGACAGAAAAAGAAAACTGACCATGTTAACAAAGGAAGTTTTTTTTTTATGTTAATGTTTTGTTTAGGAACGAGAGAACTATAATGAAGATGCATTATAGTTTGTTCTTGAAAATGGCAATAGCAACTGAAACATTGCTAAAAATAAAAGTAAGTTAAAGAAAAGTAATATTGTTGACCACTAGCAGGCCCAGTGTGGCTCCGTCGGGGGCCCTCGGCTATGTTTTGAAGTGAGGCCCCTTACCTAGATGGGGTCCGGAGAGGATATTTACATCTCTGAAAACAACTTTCTTTATAGAGGGTGTCCCATAAGCAGAGGGAAATATTTAAAGAGGTGATTGCAGACCTCAAGAGCTACAAGAAAGTTCATATAAATAATGGGCCGATTTTCAGCAGGAAAGTAGAGAATTCAAGTTTCGTGTTTTTGTAAGTAAGTCACGCTTTTTGTTGAACAGGAAGCAATAACTAAAAGATACAAAATTAACAATTGCTTCAAAGTAAACTAGATAAAATTTACTTTAAATGAAAGTAGAGCTTGTCTTCGCTAAAACCATTTAAAGTGGACTTTTGAGGGGGCTAAGTAAGCTAAGCTAAGCTAAGCCTGTTTTTAAAAAATCATAAATTATTCGCAATTTTGAATTATCATCATCCAACTATACTGCAGATGTCCCAATTTTAGAAAAACTTTCAAGCTTTTAGTTTAGTAAGCTTTTATGTTTAGTAAGCTTTTATGTTTAGTAAGCTTTAAGTCCATATTAAATAAGTTCGGGTTTATTAGGGAAAAACTTGAGATTAATCTCATTTTCAGCAAAAATGACTACAATTAATTGTTGAAAAGATTTTATTTTTATGTTTTCCCATGATTTGGGATGTATTGCAATAAAAAAAATGCGTAAATCCACTTTTTATTTATAATTTTTTTCTTCTTCAAAATAATGATATTTCAAATATTTTTCAAGTAAAGTGGTTATGAATCAGTGTTTTCACCCAGATTTCTATTGAAAAAATTGATCCATATTTATAAGTGATAAACTAAATGTTTCCAATCCAAAAATTTATGTTTAAAATAAAGAAAGATATTAGCTCACATGTATTTCTTTCGCATAAAACTGTATGCATTCAACACTCCATGAACAAGTGTGACCGAAGTGATTGTGAACTACGCATAATCCATGCGGAACTCTTGTGGATTAGTACCGCTTATTAAACGAGAAACTTCTTCTGAAAGTGAGACATCTGCACGGGCGTTAGACTACGGGCGAACGAGAATATTGTTTTTCCCTCCCTTCAATAATTTGATGGAAAAAAATTAAAATCAATAATCAATAAGCTAAATGAATGAATAAAATGTGTAAACTAAAATCGATCAAAATTAAGCTATCCTAAGGCCTAATAGTAGGTATACAACGATTTTATTGATACCTAAATATTACTTTTATTTGAATTGTCATTTATATTCAAAGGTAATAATATACAGGGTTTCTGTAAGAAGAGGGAAATATTTAAGCAGGTAATAGACCTCTAGAGCTATCATAAATTTCATATAAACAATAATCTGATTTTCGTCAAAACAGCAGCCAATTTAAGTTTTGTGTTTTTTAAAGTAAGTCATGGTTTTTGATGAATAGGAAGCGATAACTAAATTATTATTTAATATAATTAATTAACAATTGATTCACTGTAAACTAGACAAAATTTGCTTCAAACAAAAGTTTAATTTGTTATTGTTAAAACTATTTAAAGAGGACTTTTGAGTTAATGAACTAAGCTATGTGGTGATATAAAAACTTATTTCATAATAGGCCTTCAACTTAATTAATATGGACTTAAAGCTTACTAAACAAGAAAGTTTTTCAAAAATTAGGGTGCCTATAGCATAGTTGGAGAGTGAAAGATAAAAATCGCAATTAATTCATGACTTTTTTAAAAACAGAACTTAGCTTAGTGCATCTGCTCAAAAGTTCTCTTTAAATGGTTTTAGTAATTACAAAATCCCTTTCCTTTGAAGAAAATTTTATCTAGTTTACAGTGAATCAATTTTTAATTAATTATGTTAAATTATATTTTAGTTATCGCTTCCAATTCATCAAAAATTATGACTTACTTAAAAAACAAAAACTTAAATTTCTTACTATTCTGCCAAAATTGGACCATTGTTTATATGAACATTTTTTTTATAGCTCTTGAGGTTTAATATTACTTACTTAAATATTTCCATCTACTTACGGGATACCCAGCATGTCAACATATTCTAGGATTTTATGATTCAATCACCCCTCAATTTTCACGTGATATTATTCAAATTTTCCGCTACGGACTAGTCGGGCTGTGAAAAACATGATATTTTTATTTTAGATTGTACATACTAAGATATCAAAAATATTTTTTAAATTTTTAAATCATTCATTTTTAGCTGAAAAAGTTCTAGTTCTACCAAAATTGGCCCATTGTTTATATGAACTTTTTAGTAGCTCTTGAGGTCTACTATCACCTCTTTAAATATTTCCCTATAATTATGGGACACCCTGTATATTTAAATACTTGAAAAATACAACTTCTAAAGGTTTTGTTTTATTTTCTTTCATTTTTATAGTGTCATTTTGGTTTACAAGTTTCATGACAGTACCACTGTAAAATGCACAACTTATAATGCCATACACTCAGGCGGAATGTAAGTGAGACGCAGTTTGGTGAAAAAATTGATTTTCAAAACTAAACTTTTCTGGTTCTGTGAGACTTACGACAATCCGTCCCGAATTCTTTCTATCTTGATTCACATACTTGTCACTAGATATTTTTTTTGACAAAGAAGACATATGCCTGAGACTTAGTAATTTCTTTGGAGCTTATTTATTTCACCATCAAAATTTGTGGTGGATCTGCCCACGAGAACATAATTATAGAACAGGCCTTAATTATAGTTCCCTCAGCTGGTTGCAAGGCAATCAATTGAAGCTGGTCAATAAATGAACACATATGAATTCACAGCTCAAGTGAGTATATTTAGTTCCTTTTTTTTTAAAGTACTATGACCCTCAGTATGGCACCTGGTATATCTGATTCCATCAAGAAGGATGGAGAATAGCACAGAGGGAGCGAGAATCATTACAATATGAGAACTACCACAAGACCATATTTGGTTCTTAGATATTGCTCTATTGTCTCAAGAAAAGGATCTTGGATTACTAGATAATGTGTGATTCACAGTCACTGTAACCAATCCCCATACTATCTGGCCTCTCACCGGGATAGCATTACGGCAGTGGGTGCAGTAGTAATTCATCCTGTGAATAGTCACATTCTTATGTCAGAGGGAATGGAATGGATTTATTTTTATATATGTGATAGTCTACCAGTAAAAAAGCATATCCTCATATCTAGTTACCTAATACTTTTCTATTGATATTTAGATGTTCATTCCTTTTCTCAGATCCATTATGAAACTAGAGAAAAACATACATCTTGGCTATGTCTTCTTTATAATTTAACTTAAACATTTATTTCTATTTATCCATTTATTATTTCCTTTCTTGCTTTGGGGTAATACAGGATCCAGCAGGAGTAGAGCATAAATACTATCTTTACCACTATTCAGTTATAGACCAATGAAGTTCATTCACCTCAGTCTATCGGGAATTCTTCTGTCAGAGCACTTTCTTCTACAAGTATACCTGTATATCTTATAATGATCTAACCCCACTGCCACTTTCTACCAGTACACTAAGGCCCCATCGGAGGGCCTCCTAATAAATCCACAGTGAAAAACAATTATTTTCGAGGACAAACATACTATAGTTCTAGTAACATTAAAAAAAATTTCATGAATGATGACCAATGATTCTATAGAGATAGAAAAATACAAAACTGTTTGATTCATTGAACAATGGGTTCCAAATATTCGCGGAAATATAAAAATAAGCTGGAGCTGAACATTTCACGATATTATAAAAATAGTAAAAAACGATCTTCAGATCCAGATCCAGATTCCATTTCTTACTCCTAGGGGGCCCCAACATTTGCGGAAATAAATGAATACAAAACAATTATTTAATGAGTACTAGAAAAATATAAGTCCCCTTCTGGGAGCCCCTCTAGTTTAGGGGCCCTCAGTTATCACTGATTAGCCGAACTGGCCAGACTGGACCTGATCTCTGGGTAAAAACCTTAAATAATAAATTATTTACTTTTTATATTCAAATAAAATCATCACATAAATGAATTAATATTTAGTATTAATTAAATAAATAGGTATTTTTAGAAAGGTAAGTGTTAAAATAATCATATTTTAAATTTCTTACCCGCTCAAGACACCAAGAATTAGATTCATAACAAAAAAAGCACCAAGTATAACCATTGATATGAAATACATCCATTGCCAAGAATTGCCTAATGAATCTTCAATCTTAAACAAAATCAAATCATACTGATTAAAACAGGTAATATAATAACACGAATGTGTACAAATGATTATTATTGTCATACATTATAAAGAACATCTGTCCAGCCTTCTAATGTAATACATTGAAAAACAGTCAGCATAGCTAATCCAAAGTTATCAAAATTCGTTATTCCAAAATTAGGCCCATCCCAACCTTCTTTACAAACCATGTCCTTGGGACATTGGAAACCAGCGTCTTCAGTATCACCACAAGGGTGAGGATCTTCCATCATTTCATCTGAAAATTACATTAAATAGGAATCTGTTTAATATTCATTATGATTTACTTACATTAAAATTTAAAATATCATTGGGTCATTTTAAACAAAAGATAACTCAAACAAATCAAAATATTAACTGCCTTGGAACTGAGTGTAATTAGTTGATCTACATATTTTAGAAACAGAAAAATATATATAAATTTATCTTCACTCCTACAAAAATTTTCCCTCTACTTACAGGGCAGTCTGAATAAATACATATTTTAATGATTTTTATTTATTAAGTAGTCACATTCAAAAAATATTTTGGAGTTAAAAATGTGGTGGAGGGGAGGATGCAACCCCCACTATCCACTCATCTCCACCCAGTATTCTTTCGGTCGTTGTCCAGGATGTATGGTCTGTCGGTTCTAGAACGTTTTAGAGAGAACATGTTCACAGTTGTTAGGGGAATATAGAACTAGATGAAGGGCATCTGTAAGTGAAGTAATTAACAGTATCTTCTTCTTCTTTCGCATCACCCTGTAGTGCCTTTCAGCGTAGGGGAGCGTCTAACCAGGATTGCCAATTTTCCCTGTTTCTTGCAAGATTTCTGACTTGGCGTATATTTTTATGTCTATTTTTGCACAGGCGGTCTACGTATTTGAGGTACGACATTCTCGGTCTGCCGCTGGGTCTTCTGCCATTGGGGACGTAGTCCATAGACTTTAATGGATCTCTGTGTTCTTCCATCCTGATGACATACCCAAACCACTTAAGCTGCCGAGTCTTTAGGACATCCTTCATCGGGGGAACCCCCAATTCCTCCCTAATTCTCTCGTTGGGAATGCAGTCCCATCTCGTTTTCCCTGCAATCCTTCGGAGAAACCTCATTTCTGCAGCAGTGATTTTTCTCTCAAGTTTGTCAGTTAGCACCCAGCTTTCTGCACCATACAGGAGTATAGGCAAGTATACTGCCTTAAATATGTGCAGTTTTACACCTCTGCTCACTTCTCTCTTTCCGATCACAGTATTGCAGATCTGGTAATATACAGCGTTTGCTTTGCTTATCCTGTGCAGAATTTCTGAATTCACTTTCCCAGACCAACCCATAACAGAACCAAGGTAGGCGAAATCTGACACAACTTCCATCACCTCTCTGTTGCAATACACTGTAACATCTTCCTGCACCCTTCCAACCTGTAGGATCTTGCTCTTTCTTGTACTGATGACCATACCCTTCCTGAGGAGCTCCTCGTTCCATTCGTCAACTGCCTGCTGTAATTTCTCCACAGAATCAGCAATCAGGACAATATCGTCCGCATATAGAAGAAACTGAAATACAACTGGAAGCAGATTCCTTCATCCCAGAAACGTCCTTTCTGTTCGTCTTTTGAAGATTGCAGCAATTTCATCCATATATAATATAAATAGCAGCGGGCTTAAACTATCACCTTGTTTGACCCCCTTAGCTATGCTAAAATAGCCAGATTCCTGTCCATTCAGTCTGACTATTCCTTTTGGATTTTGGCATATGGATTTAATGGCCTCAACCAGGCTTCTAGGAACATTTTTTACTCTTAGTGTTTCCCATATTTCGTTTCTTTGGACAGAATCAAATGCTGCTTGAAGGTCGAGGAAGGCTAAGTACACATTTTTATCATTATCCCATGATTTTTGCATTATATTCCTGAGGGTGAATATATGACCCTGTGTCTGACACCCTGGTCTGAAACCAGCTTGCTCTTCTCCTATGAACGGTTCCACTAGAGGTCTCAGTCTATTGTGCAGGATGGATAGTAGTAATGATGAAATTCAGGCTACTGTCATTGGATTGAAGCCCCTTCTCAGAACAGGCTTTATCATAGTAATCTATATCCTTAATTTGAGATTTCTGGAGATTTTGAGGGATTTCAATACCTTTGAAAGAGACAATAAAGCTCTGTTTGCAAAAGTTATACTCTGGTTTATTTCAAAATTTGGTAAATTTTTTAAGGTTAATGTGGAGCCAAGGCATTTTAATCTATGTAAATTCAGGAACGATTCCAGGATGTATATAATTTATATACCACTGGAGACAGGCATATGGGTTGGAAGTTGGAGCATTCAGCCTGACTGCCTTTTTTATGTATGGGAATTATAACATTAAATTATAAATTAAATTAAATTATAACATTCCCCTTCTGTAGGAATCCTTTTGCTGTCCCAGGCTTTTTGAAAAAGTATTTGGAGAGACCTCACTAACTCCATCCCACCATACTTAACAAATTCTCCAACTAAATTATCCCGTCCTGGAGCTTTTTCTGTTTTTATCTTTTCAATAGCTAGCTCTACCTCGTCCTCCCCTATGACCTCGTCGAAGCAGCCTCATTCCAGCGCACCTCCTGACTGTTCCCAGGATACATATGTTCGATGATAAATTGTTTTTCGTAATGTCTCCTCCATACCTCCAGGATGCTTTTGTCCTCCGAGACCATATCTCCTTGCTCATTCTTTACATTTCTTACTGCTTTGCTTGTTCGGCCTCTCAGTGCTTTGATCTTTTTCCAAAATAGTTTTATGTTTTCCCCGTGATCCTGGTTCAACCTCTCTCCAAATTCTTCCCATGACCTCTTCTTTGCCGTTTTTACGGCCTCCTTAGTCACATTCCTTGCTAATACATATGATTGCAATTTTTCTGTGGTTTTGACCCTGCAATAATTCCTCCAGGCTATTTTCTTTTCCTTGACCAATGCTTTTAATTCATCGCTCCACTATGCAGTACGCTTACCTTTTGTAAGTATTCTCTTGACTCCGCAGACCAATGTAGCCGATTCCAGAATACTGTCCTTTATTTGTTTCCAAACATCCTCCAACCCAGCGACCGCATCCAATTCCTGAAGTTTTCTCTCTGTCTTATCTGAGGGTCCTGAAGCTTTTTTACCTCTATCCTATCGTATGCTTTTGGCTTTGTCTTGGGTTCCTTAAGTACCCTGGCGTCGGCTACCAGTAACATATGGTCACTGCCTATCTCCGCTCCTCTAATAACCTTTACATCTGAGAAAAACCTCCTGATGTCTCGGTCATATATGAAATAATCTATGATGCTATTTGCATTTCGCTCCATAGCAGAGAAGGTAATTTTGTGCACTGGCTTGTGAGGAAAATACGAATTCCCAATAAGCATGTTATTGTCCACACAGAACTCGATCAGTCGCTGACCGCGTTCATTCTTTAATCTCTCGCCTCCATGCGGACCCATCCATCACACCATGTGCTCTCGCATAGTCATTGCCTGTTCGTGCATTGAGGTCTCCCATTTTAAAAATACTCCTATTAATATTTTTGTTTTTTATCACCAAACGTTCTAGGTCTGCATAGAACTGTTCTTTATCTAGTATGCTTGCATCGTTTGTCAGAGCATACACTTGTATTAGGGTTCATTTTCCTATGCGCAGATTAATATTTACTGCTAGGATGCGTGAGTTTACTGGCTCCCATTCCTCCACTCTTCTGAACAGCTCATCCTTCATTATAATGCCGACTCTCTCTGCAGCCCTATTTCCTGGAGGGACTCCCGAATATACCAACATGTGACCACCGTCCATCATCATAACTCCAGCTCCCTTTCTTCGCACCTCACGGATTCCTAGTATATCCAGCCTGTAGGTCTTCATCTTCTCGATGATTTCTACCTCTTTGCCTGTAAGAGATCTAATATTCCAAGTTCCTAACTGTATGTCCTTTTCCATGCCATGTCGTTTCCTTCTAATCTGTCCAAATCCGAGACTATTCGCTATGTTTCTTTGAATCGTTTATTACGTTCTTACGGGTGATTGGCTCAGTAAGAACACTGGTGGTGGTTAGCTATACCCCCAACTTTGGGTCTTCTCAGGGAAGGAGGCCCTGAGGTGAGTACTGTAAATGACCTTATGTAATGAATAAGTGTATAGTGTACTGTTCTGGGTGAAAAAGTACCGTATACTGAACTCGGGATCCGGGGGAGTGTTAAACTCCACTAGTCTGGTACTTAGACTAGCCCCTGCGGGACATTAACATTATCAAGAATATGAAACATTATATATGAGAGCGGAGCTACCAGAGAGACAGTAACAAGAAACAGTAATAGTATTAATTTGATTTTGATTTTATTTCACTTATAAATTTGTTCTTAGATTAAATAAAATATTTAATGTATCAATGTAATTTATTAGATCCTTAAGAATTCACAGTCCACGAACCATTTAAGCCATCAGCATTCATAAAATTTATCATAACATATAAAAATTATAAATAAATATTTTTTTTATTTTATTCATAATTCAATAATATCAGAACAATATATACAGGGTATTTCAGGGTTCAGAGACCAAACTGTATATGAGTATGCAGGCCAAGCCACTGGTCCTGCACAGCCAATCCATTGATTGGGATAATTAACATTAAGCCATTGTCATGGACCTCTTCCATAACGTGCAGGAAAACCATCTAATTGAAGGAACATGTACCTTCTCAGTTGTAGTGGAATATGTTCAACTAAATGGTAGTAATCATTATTAAGAAATTCCAGAAATGTGTCCGCATTGAGTCGAGGCGGCAAGAAACTCGGACCAATCCTTTATTGTTTCGTTCACCTTTGTACAGTGGACTCTCAAATATATTTATCCTTTTTTACTTCTGAGTTATTGGCAGCCAAGATTCAAGAAGACCTGGATAAAACCAGTGCCTGGGCAAACTTAAATGGGTAAAGGGTAATTGCTGGTAAAACTCAGGCTACTGTCATTGGATTGAAGCCCCTTCTCAGAACAGGCTTTATCATAGTAATCTATATCCTTAATTTGAGATTTCTGGAGATTTTGAGGGATTTCAATACCTTTGAAAGAGACAATAAAGCTCTGTTTGCAAAAGTTATACTCTGGTTTATTTCAAAATTTGGTAAATTTTTTAAGGTTAATGTGGAGCCAAGGCATTTTAATCTATGTAAATTCAGGAACGATTTTCCTTCTAAACAGATCCTGTTGGGGTGGAATTTTTTTTTTTACTATCATATAATTTGTTTTATTTTTGTTTACTTGTAGGTCAATTGGCTGAGCTTCTTTAATCATAGTCTTTGTGAGTCTCTAAATTTATAAATCGATAAGATTATGAATAGCTGATATGTGTTATTGAAGAGCTTAGTAAGTAATCTTAGTAGAAGGGAATACAGTGTTGTATAAAAGTAAGCAATTGTAATTATTTTAATAAATTTCCAAAAACTACTTTAGGAGTTCTTCATTTGAGAGAGGAGTTAACAATATGAATGATTATTTTACCAATGGGTTGATATATTAACTTTTATTTTTACAACAATTACCTGTAGCATTATTGAAGCAAGTTTTATGAAGACAGCCAGAAAACAACTCTAAACCTATTATTGCATATATTATTATCACAAATAAAACAAGTAGGGCAATATGGAGTAGAGGTACCATTGCCCTCAATATGGAATTGAGAACCACTTGCAAACCTAAAAACAGAATACATTTCAGTAATCATATAAAAGAAAAGATTTTTATAAATCCATAACAGTTTGCTGTATAGTTTTAAACATAAAAATGACCATTTTCACCTACCATATAAAAATGATTGCATCCTTAAACATTCAAATAAATCACATCAAAATGAAGGTTAATGATTGTAAGATATTTCATAAATATAATGCTTTAAGTAACCTATAACATTTTCAAAAAGATTGATATATATCATGATTTTATAGTAGATATTTTGTCATTTTAAGGAATCTCAAATTATAGTTGCTTTAACAGAAGTAAACAACTTTAGTAAATTTTCAATTCTTGATAGTGGTAAATTTTCTTGAACTTAGTTGCACACAGCTGGATAATTCAGTTAAATTCCAATTATACTTGTTCGGCCATCTAAGGATTCGGAAATAAGAAGGTGATATCAGAGGAGTGTTCTGGCAAGATTCTCATGAATTTTCAGAAAAAAATAATTATTTTTTTATGGTGTCAAGATTTTATACAGAATCCTATTTTGCTAGAAACCATTATATTTAATGGAGCAATTTTATCATTCAATAGACTAGCAACTTTTGACCTTACATATTATTTGTACCAACTCCAAAGCATTGCTCTTTCTAAAACTATCATCTGTGGGATTGAATTTGTCCTATCACAGCAATTGTATAATTGTTTTAAATCAAGTAATTTTTAGATAATCTGTTTCTAAAATAAGAAATTAAATAATTTTTCTATTTCTTCCATCCTTTTATTTATTTATTTGTTTGTTACCTGTATAACTCCCATTTTTTTCTGCTACAGACATTTGACTATAACTACTACTCTGATGTTAATAAGTCCAATCTATTATTATTTATTTCCTAGTTGATTTAGGAATGTTTTAAACAGAATGTTATTATAAAGAAATAAAACTATGAGAGGATAGTAACCAGATTATCATAATGGGTTAGTTCCTTTAGTTTTCAATGTTATATGATCTGTACCATTATTAGTCATCCTAAAAAGTACACCATTATATTATCACAAACTTGAGGAACATTTTTGCCGAATATTTCTTCTAGGGGTCTTTTATTCAAGGAAAAATCCCATAAGTCCTGAAGCATAGTCTATTCTGCAATATTTCGGTCTTTTATTTCATCCCCTCATATTTACCTTGTTTAAAACATTTATTGGACCATTTAACTTGGGACTAACGGCACCACCAGTTTATCTCTAATGTAAACTACCATTAGACTAGAAATAAATTCTCAATTTAATCTTCAAGATCTCAAAAAATGTTCAAGTGATCATTGTTTTGTTCACATACTTTTGTGTTAGTTTCAGTTCAATGCTTATAAAATTAATATTAACCCAAAATTTAAAATAACAATTTGTTAATGATTCAATAAAAAAAAAGCAAAGAAAATTAATAGTTTATCATAAGATTTATATAAATTTGCATTTATATAAAATTGCATTAAGAATAAGAGAGTTTAATTTTTTTAAAGTAGTTGTTAGTTCCATAATTTTGAGAGAGTAATTTTTAATATGATAATATTAACCTTCAATAGAATCTATAAAATCTTCAATACTCTCTAAAACAATAAGTGAACATCTTCTTTATTTTAGACTTTTCAATGTATTTAAAACTTGGCTTTAAATAGGAAGATCTCATAAATAAAGTTATTTATTTACTTTATTCTATGCTTGATTCTCACTTTAAAAGATTTAAAACTTTTAATCTTTATTTTAAAATAATCGATTTGATACATATAAAAATATGAATAATAACAGTTTTATTTTGGAATTATTTTTTTATCACTTAATAATTAACTTGCTTTAATGTTAAAAATATTGCAAGGTTTTTATTACAAATAAACTAAAATATTGACTATTCATAGATAAGTGATGAAATCAAATTTCAAGAACTTTAATATTAAAATGTATTATTTATAATAATTCTATATATACACAATTTTTCCTATTATTTTTATCGAGCCAGCCTGAAACAAACTTGATCCATAAAAGTTTCTTTCTTCATGTTTAGATCTTGGATTTAATTCTTGTCAGTAGATAACTTCATTCTTCAAGAAGCATTCCGAGTTCATAATTGTTTCTTGAACTTATTTACTTACTTGAACCAAACATCTGTAATATCCCTGATGTGACTGGAATACTTTATTAAAAATTTAATATTGTAAAAGGTATAAAATCTTAGTTCAAAGTTTTTTTTTTTTATTCTTCTGAAATCAGGGACAAATAGTTTAAAAGTACATTTCCAAGAACATAACTAATCAGAAAAGAAAATTCTGAATTTAATTATCATTAGTTTAATTTAAATATATTTTAATAATAAAAAAATTATTTATTTTTATTTCTTTTTTTTCAATGGAAAAATTTATATGATGGTTAATCATAACAAACAAGAGTTTAGAAAAGCATAAAAAATAATAATTCTTTGTTGTTTTACAGATTTATTTCTTCCTCAAAAATGCATGTGTTATATCATAATTCCTAATTATGATAGGAAAATTAACTAAACCATTAATGCTGTAACTTTTACATCACTTTGTACTACACTGTAAAGCTAAGAAGTAAGAAATCTTGCTAATAGATTATATTTGTCATTAGCATTGTTAGAAATTAATGTATTCAATGCAGAAAAATTAATATACAATTATAAAAACTCGTTTACACACACATGCGCACGCACGCACGCGCGCACGCACACACATACACACACACACACACACACACACGGATGGATAATTAAAGGACATAAGTCATCTTTAAATACTTAAGTCTTAATATACTGTGTTATTGAGGCACATTAGTGCATTTCAGTGTGCTTTAAGAAAAAAAAATATTCCTTAATATTTGAGATCATCATCTAACTGTGGTCTTTTAATATCCCCAAATATAAAATAAACTTTCTATTCTATGGGTGAAAAGTGACTTAGGTCCCTTATGTGGATCCAGTAAGGTAGGCGATACAATGGAGTATATACTTGGTACACCAGAAACAAGCCTCAAGGGCCGCAGAACTCGAAAGGCTCTCAATGCTTTAACATCAAATCCTTCATTAGTTATATTTTGTAAAACTGTACTGATCATTCTGAAACATAAAAAAAAAAAAATCATTACAATTTTATTTCAAGTGTAATGATCATTGAAAAATAATTTATTTTGAGAAGATAATCAATATTTTACCCAATAACAACAATAGTAAAATCGAGCAAATTCCAGCCATTTCTTAAATATGCACCTGCGTGAGCTACAAATCCATAAGCTATGATTTTCATGATACATTCAGCAGTAAAAATCACCAGAAAAATGTATTCAATTTTTTCCTGAAACAAAAGAAAACATTTTAAAAGAAAAATGGATTAAACTTTAAAAAAAATTAATATGTAAAATAATTTATAATTCCTAAAATATGAATTAAAATACTCACCAAATATGCATTAGTGGTATTTGAATCACCAAATGGATAAGGAGTATACACAGCAAGTGCTACACAGTTAGCAAAAATGGTTAGAAGTATCAAGTATTCAAATGGTCTAATTTTTTTGTTATGGAAAACCTTATAAAAAATTAACATAAGATTATAAAGTATTGATAAATTAACAGAATTATAAATACATGACCACGAATAAAATGTTGCAGTTAAATTTTGTTTAATTATATGAAAATGATAGATCAGTAGGAAGAATCTATACCATTTCCGATTAATAAAAACTACCTGATAATTAAAAAATACTGGATTGTCTTTCTTTTACCAGCATGTAATTTAATATTTAAAGTAATGCTAACAAGCCAAATCACACAATATTGTGAGAAAATCTTCAAGAATGTCAATATAAATTCAGGCAAAACTTATCAAGTATTAACCAACTACATTTTGTATTTAATAAATGTTACTGTTCACATTTTCTCATAGAAGAATAGACTGAAGAAGAAACTTTTTTTATAGCTTATTCTTCAATTGTGAAAAGTAGTAATAATTCTTATAGTATGGTATGAAATATTTATTTCCTATCTAATCTATAAATATGGAAACTTGTTTAATTGAAAAAAAATTAAGCCATAGGTTGAATTAAAAGTTTCAACTCAGGATGATGCTGGTAATGAATAGAACACATGGTACATGATAAAAAAGTATTAGTAAAATAAATATTTCAAAATGGTATTTAGATATAATATCTGTTAAGGATTTTTTAGTCTTTACAGTATTGTGAAGCTTGCTCACCTCAAGTGTTAAAATATCTTAGGTATATAAGAACATGAAATATGTATTTAGTATTTTTAAGTCAAAGATTGTGTTTCCTAAAATATTCTTTACCATAGGAAAAAGATATGATCCCTGTTTTCAGTTCTAATTTCTTTTCTTGTGACTTCCCAAAAGTAGAAAATCAACAGGGGTATAAGTATAAGGAAATTGTTATATTGGAGGTTTTAAAACAATTATCAAACCCATCCAATATGTATAATTAAAGAATTATACAATCTGATTTTGAGTTTAATGATCTTTAAACCTTTCATTTATTTAGTAAATTTTGTCTACTGTACTTCTTGCAGGCTTAAAACTAAACTGGTTTGGGTGTATCTTTTGTCATTAGGTTGTGTGTAAGCTCTTATTAACAATTTCATCTAATTCCTTGTCCATTATCGATAATATTATAATAAACTGCACTTAGATAGAATTGTGTTACAAAATGATTTGTAATAGTAATTTTATCAAATTTTTTGTATGTTCGGTGGTCCTGAGTTCATTTAAAATTATCTGTGATAAAGTTTGGATAATTGTTCATGGTATACTGCATTATTTAGTGTCAAACTAGTCATGATCTGAGTTTTTCTTGTTTCAATTTCTAATACTCTTCAATATGCTTAATTTTTCTAGGATGCTAATAAAATAATCAAATTAAAAAATAATGACCCTGGATGTAAATATATTTTTAAATACTACTCCATAAAAAAAAAAATGGTGACTATTCTAAACAATATTGTATACATTTTGTTAAAAGCAAAGGATACTTCCATTCCACCACATCAATGCATAGCTTTCTAACTGGATTTTTAAGTGGAAGGCAGAAGAGAGCTCTTTGCGGCCTATCAGGAGGCGGTTTGCCACCCCTCCTGATAGGACGTTTTGGGGTAGGCTTTCCACCAGCACCCACATTATTGTTGTTATTGTTGACATTTATATTTATATTGGGAGTACTCATTACTTATTAGCTTAAGTTTGTTTTCCATAAACCTTTCTTCTCTTCTACCTTTCTGCTTTTCTCTTGAAATATCTGAAAGATTAAAATAATAATTGAATTATATGGTATATAATATCATTTCCATTACAAAAAAAAATTATTTAACTAAAATGAGAAGTGAGTGGTAAGGGAATTATGTAAAGGATGACATGTAATGTTCTGAGATTATGCTCTTTGAAACCACTAAAAAAAGCAAAGGGGCGAGAATGAAAACTTCTTAAAAATTATTCCAATAAAATTATTTAAAAAAGTAAACAATTAGTTTTCATACCTAGTTGTACTTTTTCTCGTCATTGATATTATAGTCTTTCTGGATTCATGATCAACTCCTGTTTAAATATAAAAAGTAAATTTATCATTTTGGAAGTAGTATACACTATTATGTATATTTATGAATTAGTTGAACACGAAAATACTTAATAAGATTCTTTCTACTTACCTAAAAATGTCTATTTCAGATGATATGAGGGAGACAGACCTCATGATAAAAACTGAGATAGACGATCAAAAGAGATGTAGGTCCAGTAATACTGAAATTAAAATTAGTAAGATTAGTTGTAATTAACAACAGAAAATTTTAACAACAAATAATTATTTGTTATATGATAAAAAATAAAGTTATATGATTTGTAGAAGTAGTATCGGCGAAAATTTACATTTTAAGTACACCACTATAATATTTAATAATCACAAATTTCATGACTCAAAATATAAAAATATTTACTTCTCTCATATTTTTTCTATTTAGAGATAAAATAATATATATTATAATTTATTTATTATACAGGGTGAGAATAAGAGAAATTAAGGGTATGTACAGGGCCGTCGCGTGCGCGGGGCGACCGGGGCACCATAGTCCAGGGCACAGGCGGATCTACGGGGGGGGGGAGAGGGAAGCTTTCGGGCTGAAGCCCTCCCCCCAAAATGGTAAAATGTAACCATGTTTTACAGAAAAAAATATTAAAAACTATCTCTTAATGTATTTTTGCTCGTTAAATTATATTTAATAAGACTCCAAGAACCACTTAAACACCATTTGATATAGGTAATTAATTTCTTTCTTTTTGTTTCAAATTAATTATCGTTATATGTATACGGGAAAAAAATCTTTCGGGCTGAAGCCCCCCCAAAATTAAATCCTGGATCCGCTAGTGGTCCAGGGGGCGCCGCGGATCGGTGACATGATGTGATGTTTCTCTACATTTTGAAAAACAATATGGGATTTTCTCTCGCCCTTGCAGAGATGCGGCGCCCATTGGTGTTAACGTTAATACAAAAATAGAATTCAATGAACTAGTTGTGAACATCGATTTTAATAGAAAAATTATTTTTAAAATCGATGGTTATGAATAGCTTAAGCGTAGACTTCGGAGAAGGAGTACGATTGCTCCCCGCCCCAATAAAAATAGAGAGGAAAAGTCTGAGGAAAAAAAATCGACAATCCTCTCCATGTGATCCTTAAATCTCCTCCAAATCAAATACGAAAGTACCTTGTAGGCAACATTAAAGAGAGCTATAATTCTATAATTTTCACAATGAAGTATTTCATCTTCCTTGAAGATGGGGCATAAAAGAACTGTATACCATTCCGCTGGCATCTTTCAGTAGTCATCCTTACATCTGAAAAGTTATTTCATATTGCTCATTGAGTACTGTATCTCCGCCATACTTCAACAGTCCCAATGGTAAACTATCAACCCCAGGAGCTTTATAATTTTTCATGCTGAAGAGAATTTCAATAACATACTCTACCTCCATCGTCATTCTCTAGAGTCTGATCCAAATCGGGGTCCTACTGATTTTCATTACCCTCTTCTTACCTCTATGTTCAGCAAGCTTTGAAAATGCCGAGTTCACCTGCTTATTATATCTCTCTGATTGGCCAGAATGTTGCAGTTCTTATAATTTATGAAGTATTTTCTCGGCTTGAAACCCTTAAATATGTTATATAAATAAAAAAAAAAAATGTACTACTACAATCCGTGAAGGGTATTGGTTTCAGAACTATTTAGAGAAAGTACTGTTTCAAGGCCAACGGTTGTGCAAGGAGGGGATCGGACCAGGAGGGTCCTCCTACCACAGGGTCGCCCCACGGTCAATGAAACCGAATAAATAATTTTTCTGCCATGAGCCGGGATTCGTACCTAGGACCTTCAGCATTGGAAGCTTAATGTTACATAAGTGTATATATATGTAACTTATATAACGCCAATTTCGATTTCTGTGGATGTCTGCCTATCTTTATGATTTACATCAATATCTGTGCTAATAAATATGTAGTGATTTTTAGTTATAGTCCGAAATAACTCGCATCTATGGAGAAAATGAAAAAAAAAAAGAGGAAAAGGGAAGGAAAGTGGGTAACTGGGAAAATCTGGCCCCGGGTGCCCACAACCCACGGGACGGTCCTGGCTATGTATGTAGGGAAGATATATTTCTAAATAATAAGCTAATATAAACAATATTTGTGGAGCTAAGGCAATTGCTTTCGATAGTAACAGCTGATAACTGTTCCAAACTTCTGGTGAAGTTGCTAATCTTGTTTAGGGGGATAGGATTAATCAGAACAGGCCCAAATCTCGGGTACTAATATCAAGGGTATTTCTGGAGCTTATTTATTTGATAGTTATGGTATTACAACTTGAACATTTTATTAAATGTTTGCATTAATGACCATTGATATCAATATACTAGTCATTATTTATTATCATCCATTTATTACCAAATTTCAAATAATGCCTAAATGAACTATAGCATCGACAGCTGCGTTGTAAACGAGCCTGTGAGCACAACTTTTTTAGAAAGTGCGGTTTAGAGCTTCTCGGGCGGTTGATTAGCTTCGCAAATATTCAGAAATGTAAACCAAAACCTTTATTTAAAAAAAATACCTAATTGTCTAAAGCATGTAATAAAAATATAACATAATATCTAGCCCATTAAATAAAAAATACTTTTTTTTTTTCGTTATATAAATCTACTGACTGCGATATTTCAGACCCCTTCTTTTTTTTAGATTTTAAATTAACGACAATACACAATCCGATCGTTCACTATCTCGGCAGTCCGCTAATCCGGCACTCTGAGATTTACGTATATGTAACAAACATCTGAGGGCACCGAATGTCTGTAAGAGCGGCAGACATGACTTTATTAAGTATCAGGGGTGCCCATCCTCCCAAAATATGCCGATAGTGCATGAACTAACCTCCCATCCACAGAAATTTTTCCTCTCCTCTTCTTAAAACGTTGTAGTTTTGATGAACCATTTCTTATTCTAGTCCATTTCGTGGCGATTTTTAAAATTACGTATGTTAGACTAATAAAGAAAAAGAAAATAGTGGATGATGCCTTCCGGGAATACTACTGAAATTTAATGCGCCGAAACTCTACTTAAAGTTGTGTACATTAACATTAATAAACATAATGAGGAATCTATACTAAATAAATCAATCAAATATAAACGTTATTGGCGCTTTTAGGTGGAAGATTTGAAAGTTATGTTGAGTAGTAAATGCAAAACTTTGAATGTAGATAATTCAGCCGGATTTCAGTAGAAGCAAACCAAATTAGATTGGTTTTGTTTTTCGTTTCATGTGGAACGAAGTGGCAAAAGTCACATACGATAACCTGCCCCCCTTAAAAGATTTCGCGATTTTAAAGTCGTAAATTTGCACGTTTTTTTGTTGTTATTTTCCATCATAGCTTTCTTCAGAAGGGATTTTCATAAAAAATTAATAGGGTATTTTCTATGAGATGGCAGAAAAATTTGAAATTTCCATTAGTTTGTAAAATACCTAAAAAATTGTTTTCCCTGGTTTCCCTCTTATTGTAGCCATACATAATTTGTTTTGACAATTCTACCATAGAATTTAAGTCCCTAATTAGCCAGCGCTACAGATATACAGGATATTATATAGATAAGATATTATATAGATATAAGATATTATATAGATATAATATATTATATAGATATAATATATTATAAAGATAATTTTTAAAATATTCCAAGGATAGGTTATAAATGTTATTTTATCAGATATTAATTTTTTAGAGGGTCGGTTCTATATATTTAGCTTTTAAATTTTATTTTGTGAAGTAGAGATAGGAGGGAGCACTTGAGGAGGTAATAAGGGAGAGGCGGTAGTCCCTTATCAGTTACTGATAACATCATTGCCACGTGGCTCTAACGTAGGCAACCCCCTCAGATCCATCAAGATACAATTTTATCTGAAACATCAATGCGTCCAAAAATAAATAATTTTCTCTCTTAATTTATTATTATAAATTTCGTATCTAAATTTTCCTATCTTTTACTATTTAATCCCGAGATAATCGAAATTAATTTACAGGCGTCGATGACCCTGATGTTCAACCCCAACAAATAAACCACCTTTTTCTGAACAACTGATACAAAATAAATTTAATTATGTATCATTTATACGCATATACTGTACTTTAAATATAAATAAAACATTAGGTAAAACAATAATCTTCTTAAACAGGATGTTTAAGGAATTAAGATTATTGACTGGACTTGCATAGACTTTTTGTTTAATGTCACCTCAAATAAAAAAATACTGTGGTGTCAGGTCTGGAGATCGTGCAGGCCAAGCCACTGGTACAGCCAGCATGGCCAATCCATTGATTGGGATATGGGATATGATTGAGCAAGTCCAGTCAATGACCTTAATTCCTTACGAAGAAGGATAATTGAATCTCGTGAAACAATAAAACATATCCAGTGCCGTTCTGCCACTGCTGCTGTTGAAGAAAGATGCCGAGCTTGTCTTAATGCTCAAGGAAATCACTTTGAACAACATTTAATATGAATGTTAATGTTTACATTTAATTAATAAAGTAGTTAGAACAAATAAATAGGTTTTATTTATTCCATAAAACGTAAATAATTCATAACAACGAAAATATTTAGATGTGAATATTTCCTAAACAAAGCGTTTGTT